TCAATAAGATCTGATGTAATTTTAAATTGTCTTTTGCGATTATACTCCAAGGATAATTTTTCACTCAGCGATTTAACATTTTTAGATGCAGAATCCATAGCTATCATACGAGCAACATGTTCACCCAAGGTGTTTTCTACCATGGCAAAAAACAAAAGCAAAACAGTAGAAAATGCAATGTAACTTCTCATACTTTCTTCTTCTACTTCTTCTAAACTAGAAATATGAGCTACCGTAAGAAGGAAATCTGTGTTATAAATGGAAATCCAATCAACTTGTGATTTGCTTTTAGTAACAACCCGGTTGTAAAATATTTGACAAGCAATAAATTAGCGTAATTACATTCATTGAATATTTTTGAAGCTTCTAGAAATGTGGGATTATCTTTACCTATTTTAGAAACTGTAAATAAAATGTTAGATTCATGCGATTCAGCTAACAGTTCTTTTGATTTTTGCCCAACACACACGACTTTTGCTGATCAGGCCTGTCTAATTCTTGTTTAACTTTTTTCACAATAGTCAATAGCCGTATGTATGCCACCACATAGACCTCGATCTGACGTAATGGCAAATATGAGATGATTTTCAATGTATGTGATCGAGCATATTAATATGTGTATACTGCTTGTAAAATAATAGCGTGCCATGACCGAATGGACATACGTCTTTCAGCAGACGCTTGGTCTTTGCCAGTTTAGCAGCCGACACAAGTTTCATGGACGAAGTGATTTTTTTAATATTGCCATATGACTGTATACTTTTCTGAATAACTCTCAAAGACATTTTACAAGAAGTTTTTGCTGAACTGCAACAAATGACGTGAGTACGTAACACAAGACGACGAATGCGGCGGTCTAGGATCTAAAAACATGAAAGAAAAACTGAATACAGAAATCATGGTTTTATCAGGAATAGAAAGTTAGACGTGACGTCGAAGATGCGTCATAAACGGGAAAATAAACATACACGCTTCAGGGTGAGAGCTTGTACATGGGACGGAACAAAAGCACTTATTTATCGATAGATTCGCAATGACTGAGTGTGTGACACGATGTCAGTGGCGGTGCCAGAATTTTTTTCTTAGTAGGGCCAATGTGAGGCCAATAATTATAAGGTAGGGCCATAAAAAATGAGATTTAAACAAAAAAACTAAAAAATATATATAAATTTTATGGATTTTTATACTATAAAAAGTATGTAATTAGAAAAATAATATTATATAATTTTTAAAAATTGTACAATATTTTAGAAATATATTAATCTTAATTACATAAACTGTACAGTGAACAAAATACAAATACCATTATTTTCTGCTATGAAAAATGAGAATATTATTATATCTATGGTTAGGCCAGTGGTAGGGCCAAGAATTTCAGTTAGGGCCATGGCCTTACCTGCACGTCCCTAGCGCCACCACTGCACGATATACAAGTATTGTCATCATTAATTTAAAATTATCCTTATTTTTCAAAATAAAATAAAAAACGGTTTTTGCTCACCTTTAAGGAAACGGCGACGAACAAAAGACAGTGGACTTTGTCATTAGTAAAATATATATACGTTGCGTTTGTATAAATGAAAACTACCAATCGACAGAAATACAGAAAACGTATTGTGAATAACTATGATTGAAATCGGAATTAAAAATAGAAAAAACAATCAAATGCATTTTGATGATTAATCCTATAACGTAGTGCAGGGCGACGACGGAGTAGAATGTAAACAAACATAAAAAAATAAATGTTAAAGTAATTAATAATTATTATTGCTAGAAATTATCAGTCATATAGATGAATAAATAATACATGCATAATTTTAACTATATTATGCAAACGTTCTTCATTCATAAAAAAAATTATTTTATGGCGCCCCCAATATAACATTGGTCGATTGGCGCCCTAGGCTGTATCCTACTCAGCCTATTGGTTAATCAGGCCCTGGCCCGATGACATTTGTTTACAAAATGGTTAGGTACAAGATTTTGTGTAAATTTCGAATCAATCTAATCATTTTGAAGGGTACCGGGGTGTTGAAGAAACGTCACGCCAGCACCTTACTTATAGGTACTTACTTCAATATTTAATGTCCTAATATCTATACTCCTGTTTTGTTAAAATTTATATCATATATATGCAGGCATGGCGCCAAGGGAGGGCAAGGTGGGGCTCTATCCCCACAGAAAACAATTCAGCCCCTTTTCCAGCCCCGCCCTACTAAAATATATATACGATATAATAAATTCATAAAACATTATTTTTAAAAGAGCTACATCAGAGAATTTATGAAATATACTTTTTTTAAATTAATAATACATATTAAGTAAATACTTTCGTATTTTCGAAGATATGTGTTTTAAGTTTTTGCTGTTATAAAAACCGATTTAATAATATTAATATTTTATACATAAAAACCGAATAATATTATTAACTTAATTTAATGTTTGTTGTATACAGGTATAAATATTTTTAGTTTACTTATTATTTTTAATATGTTTAATTAATACACTAATATTGTGTAAGAAGTTACTTAATAATTAATAAAAAAAAAGGATTTCTTTAAGTATCTACGTTTTAATATATATCCATGAACTATTTTAACCTCCAAAATTCAACAATTCATGCAAATACCAATTTAAAAATGCATTGAACTAAAAACTTGAAATTTACTAGTTAAATATCAGGTAGGTAATCACAAATTTGTATTTAAAAAAATATTATTCCTACTGGTATTGATGCAATTTTATACATTTTTTTAACTATTTTAACGTTTTAAGATTTTCAATCAGTGGCGTATCCAGGATTTTTTTTAGGGGGGGGGGCACACACTGTCTAAAATTTTACTATATATACTATCTACTACCAAAAACAAAAAAAAAATAAAATGAACCAAATATTTAATGTTTATAGTGCAAATAATTTGTTTATATTTTCAGTCAGTCATTATGTTAATATATATATATATATACATAATAATAAATAGTAATAGTAATTTAATAATAAAAACGGGTTAATCCCAACAAAATTATAAGTGTATGTAATGCTGGTATAAGAGTATTATTGTAGTATGCGTTCATGCATACAAATAAATTTAAATCTTTAAAACAAAATCTAATAAATAAGGCCAACGAGGGGGGGGGCTGGGCCCCCTGGCACCCCCCCTGGATACGCCACTGTTTTCAATCATTTAGTATTTGGTGCATAAACAGATATTGTGTAAAATATCAATATTTAGTTTATTTAATATATTTGTCACTACTAAATAAATTGAATTTAGTATAGATTATAATAATTTAATTAATGAAGTTTGAAAAAATAACATCTTCAGTCTTTTTTCGGTGGATTAACCTACTAGTACTATCTAATAAGGAAAAAATTTACTACAATTTTAATAAAATATGTTTTTAAATTTGTAAAATAAGAAAAAAATCTTTTATTTATTTATTATTACCTATCTTTATTGAGTACCAATCACTGGATGAAAATAAACAAACAAAAGTATCCCAAATTATTGCATTAAAAGTTAAGTAAAACAAATGCATCTATTCATAACTAAACACAATTACTTTAATTTATATTTATGAATTGTAAGTAAAAGAAACATAATTATTCATTCACAAAGGTATGTGATAAAGAAATTATCATTTTTGTACATCGTTATTAATATAGTTGTTGAAGGTCTGTGATCTAACATTTTCATGCATAAGGTAAATAAAAAAATTTATATTTTATTTAAATAACCTCAGTATTTGTTGAAAAAACCTTAGCCCATGTAAAAAAAATATTTGCTCCGCTCTGCCCCCTCTGAAAAAAATTCTAGTGCCGTGCTTGTATATATGATAAATATTAAATATTTTTATCCTAGTTTGTTGTATGCTATTAAATTGTTGGACAATAATCGAATTCTAATCTGAAGTATGACATGCGCTATAAATGCCATAAGTATAATAAAGAGCTAATTTTTAAAACCCTAAACACTAAACGAAATTGTCTTCAATTCACATAATTGTATTTAACTATAGATATATTACCTATGTTTTATGTCTATTAACCTTCCTATAATACACATTGTTTGTAGATCACATTCTTTTAGAATCATCATAATCCAAGTAGGTAGATAATTATTAATTATATTGAATACTATATACAGGTTGAAAACTAAAACTATACATACACACCTCCTCGCATTTCACATTTATAATATTTGAATCCTAAATTGTCCACATATATCCTTGATCGCTTATGAACACTGGGAATCAAGGAATACATTTCCGGTATTCTGACGACGACAATTTCTTCCTCTACTTCTTCTTTTTTCAATTCCTCTGCTTCTCCTTCATGCACCCTAGGATCGTTTTCATATATTAGACAAATGAAAAGAAGTAGTCGTGATTCACCAAATGATCCGGAAGAACAATTATTTCTTAGAAACACTATATCTTAAATGAAAATGCAGAAAAAAAAGACCGAACAACTTCAGCGGTATGACCTATGGACTATGGTCAAAGTTTTAATAACACCCGTGCGAGAAACACAAAGACAGTCAGTTATGACTTATGATCAACGTTTTAACACAAAATGACAAACAATGGCGTGTGTAGAAAGTCGATTTAGCATAGAGCACATGTGAATTGTGAGCACCATAAAATTCAAAAACAATGTTATTGAGTGTGGAAGGGTGTCCATACTCCGTGATTCGTGGTATTCACAATGGCGTTAGCCATGAATTCCACTCAGTGGTGGAAGCAAAAACCATTATAACACACGGCAATAGAATGCAAAAAAAAGTGGGAATTACAAAAATAAATAATGTATTTTGGTATTTTAAGGTGGTACATTTATGAATATTAAATTCCAGAACGAAAATTTTTAATTTAGTATCGGTTGGCGCTACTTTTTGTCTTAATATTTTTTTTTGTTTTTGTTTCTTCCATGGTTTCGGGAAAAATGCCTCCTCAAGCCCCGTTTTGCGATATTATCATTAGCTTATCACTAACTTCCCTTTATACAATCACAATCATACAAATTGAAAATTCCTATTTACATTATTTACAAGTTACCGAGTAGATAGATTGGCGTAATCTCCTCAATTTTTTCAATTTAAAGCAGCTAAACAAGTAAGCCATATTCAAATTATAACAAATCAGTTCCCCATACATCCTTTTTAAAATCATTCAGAATGGTTTTAGGTCAAATTCTACGTAGCACTTTCCAGTAAGTTGTTAAAAAAATCTTTTAACTTAATTAATAACACCCATCTGTATATTTTTTTCACGATAATTATTTATTATTTTAGAAAAGTTGTTGGAAGTGCTCCTCATAGTTTTACACCAACTAATTTTTTGACACCTTCAGCATTGAATTTTTGGTCTATTGACTTTGTTCGCACAAAAACACGTCATCATTTTCCTCGACCTAATGAAGCAAAACGTATTAAAAAACATGGTTGGTGGACAAGGATGGCAACAAAAGAGGGACGCAAAGTATTGCAGCGCAGAATACTCAAAGGACGATATGTCCTCAGTCATTGATTTTATTTTATTTTTTCAAATGTTAAAATAATTTACAGTTAGTTATGCTCATCATGTTTTATAGACTAAAATAAAATAAAAAAAAAAAAAAAGAATAATAACCAATTGCTTATAGAGTTATTTATTTTTTATTTGAAATATCTGGTATGTTGTAATGTGCCTTTATTATTTATAATTTTTATATTAGTGATATTGAAATCTTTTGGATGTCAGCCAATGTGCATGATACGCTGTTTTAGTGAAGCAATTGAAGTTAGTAAAATTAAACGAAAACATATTCGGAATGTCAACTATTACATGCCTTTACTTTCGGAAGCAAGACGAGAGGTAATTTTAATAAACCATATTTCTATTATTTCATCTAATTTTCTAAACCGTTTATAGTCTATTAAAAAAATTGTTTCTATACAAATGTCTGGTCATTATTTGAGTTGTACCACTATACTTCGAGATGGCAATATTCTTAAAGATTGGAAGGTACTTAATATGCCAGAAGAGATGAACAAATTTAATTTAGATGATGTCTACAATTCTGTAAGCCATATTTAATGTATTTATATTATTTATATTATATAAATTGTTTATATTCAGGTTGCTGCACTTATGAAAGATATACCTGAAAGTGATATTTACCTAATTGAAAACCATGTGAAAATGCCAAACAATGTGAATGTTGCTGGTGCTAATTTATTTTATGTTAAGTTACAAACACTTGCTATGTTAATTGCTCTTATCAACAACAGCCAAGCTATGAACACTTCTTCAGATAATACTCGTAAATATTTACCAATATATATTGTTCTACAACAAAGTTTTACAATTTTTTTAAAAATATTTTTAGAAGAATCTATGAACAAAGTGGTACTAATGAAAGCACGTTTACATGCCAGACTATTTCGAATTATTATTGGTACAGAAATCATTTCATCACAAGATATAACTGAAATGATGCTAAAAGGCATCTTTCCTGAATATATTACTCCTGTTGTTCCTGCAATTGATGCTATTTTAACTTATAGATCAATGAAAGAACCAATTATAAAAGAACTTATGTCCAATGGTCTTATGTTAGCAATGACTTTTGTAGATCTAGTATTAAATTCAAATCCAAAAAGCATACAAGCGCTTAATGAAAGTTCTAAGAGAAAATTAAAAACCACAAAAAAGTTATAATGTTAATTCTATGTTAGTGATCATTTAATGAAAATAAAAATACATACATTTGACTAGAGATTTCATTTTTAAATAAGCAATAATCTTATCAAAAAATATGTCTACATTGACAATATTTTTAATTTCTTTAGTGTATAAGATAAATAAATTATGTACATATGAAAAGTATTAAAATTAATCGAATTGGTAGTGTAATATATGATAAAAAGAACATTAATGCTAACTAGAGTAAAAATTAAAATATTAGTAAATGTACATTATTAAAAACGTAAAAACGTATAATATTTGTAATCAATAATTTGATAATCTAAAATATTGAGTTAATTTAATTTAAAACAAATTTAGTCTGGAATTATTCATGGCATAATTGTCTCCATGTTTTTTTTTTTATATGGCGATTTAAATCATTTTTCTGCTGATATTTATTATTGCATATTAAGCAGTTATAAGGCTTTTCCCCTGTGTGTACTCTCATGTGTATACGAACCTTTTCTGGCCGACTAAACTTACGCAGACAAACTTCGCAGATGTATTTTTTTTCATAGTGTACAACTTCATGCTGGCGTAATGTTGACAAGCATTTAAATGAAGAACCACAGTTCATACACTGATACGGCCTTTCCCCGGTATGTTGACGCTGATGAACACTCAACTGAGATTTATTTGGCAATTGTTTACCACATGTCTCACATATTAGACATGTAAAATGAATACGTTCATGAATTTGTCTTGAAGCTTCATGAATAAAAGTCTTATTACAATATCGACAGCTAAAATATTTAGATTTATCAGATTGGTTGTAGATAAGTGCCCATTCTCTGGAATATGGTAAGTCATGTGTTTTAATGTGAAGTATAAGATTTGCCAAACTGTCGAAGCTGATAGAACATAAATCGCATGGATAGTATGGGTGTTGAGCATAAAAATGTAATTTTACATGGTTTTCAAATTCCAATAAAGTTGAACAGCGACGAAAACAATGATGACAATCTAATTCTTTCAAGTTATGGTTCAACAGGATATGGCGTCTCAATTCTGTACCTATGTAATAAAAACAAATAATTTTACAATAATAAGTTATATTATTTTACTAATCAGAAATTAACAGATCTATTTATACAAAAATGAAATGCTGTTCATTGATAATCGCATAATTTGAAAATAAAAGGATCTATTAGGCTAATTTTTTTTTATAATATCCGTAATATAGGTACCAATTATTAAGCTTTTTAAGGAAAAAATTGAAAATATTCGGAATGATAAGCGTATATTTACTGAAATTTGACATACACGTTGAATAGGTATCATTGACAATAATGTTCCGAACCATTCTCAAAACAACGTTTGGCAGGTCAGCTATATAATATATATTAAAATGGTATTGCCTAATTTGCTGAACTACCTACTGATTCACTGAACTGAACTTAACTGGGGCCATATAACATGGATTACAACTGTTACAGCTAACATCCGGCTTTCAAGCTCTATGTTCTACTGTCCCTAAAGAATTCAAAAATGCCCCCCTTTGAAATAAGGTGATCTGTGGCATTTTAGTCTACTAAAAACGCATATTTATTCATCACAATCAAAAACATTATGTTGGTAGGTACGTATACTGTACACTGATATACATATAGGTACATTTTAACCATTTAATACTGTAAAAGGTGATACCCCAATAAGCCGTAATCTATAGATAAAATTATACAAAAATAAGTAGATACCCTAATTGAAGAGGAATATTATTGTAGTTTTCCTATTAAAATTTACAAATGTATCACTTTAAATAAAAAACATTATGGTCATGTTAGTTATAACCCCAGTTCAACAAATTAAACCAACCTTCCTAAAATGTGATCAGGAAAAACTCGTATTAAAATTATACTCACCACAGGTAAAATTTTGTGTACAACGTAAACATTGTATTTGATTTGTATTTCCAAAGGTATTTTGAGTTGTATGAACAATATTTTTTATGTCACAATCATTCAAAATATTGCCAAGTTTATTTTCTCTGTTATCTTTTTCCTAAAAAAACATATTGTTAGTTGAATAATTTTATAGATACATCATACATTAATGTCTTAATCGTTAATAGTTTCACTTGGGTTATTATTACTTCACTAATATCAAAATTGACATCATCTTGAAAGGTTTCAGAAATTTCTAACGGCATATTTTCAATCTAGGTAGAATACATAATATACGTTAAATACAACATAAATAATTATTTATATTACAGTATAATATAAATTATAATATAGAAAACTATTTTTTATTTTTCAATAACATTTTATTAAATGTTTAAGTTTTATTGAAACAATTAAAACTATCTAAATATAAACTAAAATGTAATTTTAATAATGGCATTATTTTAGAGAGGAGGTGATGTGACTTCAATGTTTCAGTGTCTAATCTTAAAATTTTTAAGAAAAATAATGTGATGTATTGGAAAATTGTTGTAAATTACAATGATGACTAATAATTACCTACAATGTATAAATCTACAAATGCACTAACGTATATCTATTTAGTATTTAAGTTACCTATGACATCTGTAGTGTGTAATAACTAATAAGTATCTAAATACTCAATACAATGTCGATAATGATGTTTAAGTTATATGAAGGAACATACTCAATATTGTGTTTATTTAAGTACGATCACAGCGAGTTAATGTTTATTTGTATTTGTCGAATGAGAATAAAATTCATAGATGTATCTTCATATAATATGTTAATTAATAATATTATACAGTCCCTTAGGCGGTGATAGGGGGGTGCTTGGGGGACGTAAACTCCCCAAAGTTATTGAATATTTTTCAAAGTATTAAATGGGTAGGTACTTATTTTACAACAATGCAAAGAAATATTACCCCCCCCCACCATAAAATTCAATCAAATATTAGCCTATGTATACAGCCATATATTATTACAAAGATTTATAAGCGGTAGACGGTAATGGGTATGTACAACAACAATAATAATGTAATCCTTTATGTTCGTTAAATTAACTCTCTTATTTGACTTAGTCAATTTTAAAAATTTATTTTTGACATTTTAAACCAGTTTTTATATATATATATAATACCTCCAATAAACACTCCACCCTCACCTATATGAGGTACGGATTTCAAAATAATAGGTATTTACAAATAAATATTTATAATATCTATCTTAAATTTGTAAATACCTATATATTTACTCTGCAAATTATAAGTACAGATTGAGTTTGTACATAATAATATTATATCAAATAAAGAAAAAAATGTCAAAATTTCTGAACTTGTAAAAAGTACATCTCACCCGCAGTGCCATCTCGAGGACAAGGCAAACGGGACACTCACCTAGCGCCTCGCATATATACAATAATATATTGTGTAAATAAAAATATTTCTAAACATTTTAACAACAATTTAAAATTTAAATATGTTTCAGATAATATCAATATTTGCAAAGTAAAAAAACGTATTTAAAACAAATTGACTGTTTTTCGAATAACACAACAAACAACATTATTAAATTTTGAATAGTTAATACTTAATAAGTAGGTATTGTATCATTAAGATACTATAATAATATGTGTTAAAGTTAAATTATATATACATTTGTTGATATTGTTGATAACAAAAGAAGGTTATTAAATCAAGTGCGTAGACATTTTGGTAATGGGCAAGTGGTATTCGAGTACCTATAAAAAGATTGAGAACCGCTATTCTAGAGTATCTATGGATTTCGATATTAAATAGTAAGTCTATGGGCCTCAAATTCTAATGATGTCCAGATCCTCGCAAAATCTGGTTATAACACTGCTTACTCGCATGAATTTATCTTAAAAATGAGTAACATATACCAAATGTATGTTCAATAATTCTCATTTAGATTCATTAGTTTCAATAAAAGAGTTATTTGATAGATATGTTCATTGTCACATTAAAACTAACTAAACTAAATATAAATTTGCAAGAGCGTAGCCGGGGGGGGGGCAGCTAGGGGCAAATGCCCCCCCTGATCAAAATATTAAGTAGATGTTTTTAATATGTTGAATATCGAATATTTAAGTGATTCAATTAATATGTTCGTATATAAATACGTAATCGATAATTTAAATTGGAATATTTTATATTAATATATGTGTAGACTGTTCACGACGTTTAGTGTTGCTTTAAAATTTAAAGTTGTATTAGATAATATGAAATTTGAGTTAAGATAAAAATAAAATTTATATTATTAATAAATAACTAAGATAAAGTTCATAAAAATGTGTTTTCAATGCTTACGTGCCCCCTCCCAGCAAAAGTCCTGGCTACGTTCTTGTAAATTTGTTATGTTACGCATTTAGAAGACAGAAGACATTTAGGAGTCAGGGATGAGGCTATGAGGCGTCCTTTTAAGTTAAGGTGTGTATTGGAGAGTATACGGAAGTATACAGCGATTACAGAGCATACTAATTACAACCATATTTACAAATAAATGCATATTCATGCAAATAATACATTTTATATGTATATATCTACAGTTAATGGCGGACAATGAGTACTGTATTTTTTTTTAAATATGTGACCCACCACACACTATGACCGTTTCAGAACCATACAATGTAAACATAAATATAGCTTTTTTGTAAATGGATCGCTTACGGCTTACTGAAAATAATAACGATAGATAAAAATAGATTTATAATATCTACATATCACATGAATAATTCGTTTATTATGATATTTTTTTTTTTTTTTTTATAAAGTGTTGATTTAATATATTTAATACATTGATCGTTTAAACAACAAAGAATTTTATCTATAGTTGATTGATGATTTAGAACTAAGGAATGAGCAAAAATAATATTAACTAATTTTCTAGTAGCGCAAATTTTTTTTAATAATATGGTGTCCTACTCAAAACATTATTTATCAATACTTATGATATAACATACAACTTCTTACATTCATAGTTTCCCGTGGTATGTTTCCAACAATCATCGTCATTAATTTTGTAGTATTATGACAAAACTCAAATATTGGGTACACATCTTCTACTTGATTGATACAACTTTGACAAATTTTTAGTGATAGCTGATCATCAGGAGACACCTAAACATAAATATATAAACATACCACATAAATGCAGAAATATGACCATTCTAGAAATGAAATATCAATTTTTTAACAAAATTAATATAGATATTATGCCAAAAATATTTTTCAAAATTAATATAATGTTATACAACATGAAAAATAAAAATACTGTCACTTTACTGTGGTATGTTATTTGAATTAAAAAAGAAAAATTACTTTAAGTGTTAAAAAAGAGTTCATCTTATCAGCTAAGCTCGTAAAATTCTCATCAAGTTGATTGTAAATATAAAATAGTCCAGGATTTCCACAAATACGACAAAGTTGCAGCATCCTTTCTTGAAAGACCTATTTACAAATAGTGGAATCAAAAATTTATTAAATATTTCTCATTTTTGTTTATATTTTTATTATAATTAGGTACCCTACAGCCTACCCCAATAATTAAAATTATGAAGTCTTCCCTTATTTTATGTATTTATTTTTGTATAAAAACTACTTATTAGGACATATTCAAATAGCTCAAATGTTATCTTTATTTTATATTAATCGACCAACGTTTATGAATCATGTTTCATAACAATTATAACCATAATATATAAGATCGTAAGATAGATATAATAGGTATATACAAAACCGATCTTAGGCCAGAGGCAGCAAGGCCCCTGCCCCGGGCCTCACGCCTTTGTATGACATTTTGCACTTAATGTTAATGTAATTATAAATTATTTTAAGCTATAAAAAAGATCTTTACTAAAGGCCTCATCTAAAAAAATTTTCACCAGGTCTCGCACTATAACCCTATGGCCAGATTAGGTTAGGCTCTGGCCTCTGGGTATATATGTAGGTGGGCATGGATCAATTGCGCTTGCATTTAAATTTTGAATAATTGACTATATTTATTTATTTATATCATATTATGTATTGAATTTGGCTAATTTCTTACGCTATTTTTTTTTTCTAGAAGTTTGATCATCAACTCATTGGTATGAATAGCTATTCCCACTATCTGATTCAATGTATTAATTTGATTGACACAAGCATTACATGCCATGATTGAAAGACGGTCGTTGAGTGCTATCTTTAATTCAAATAAAAAAATTATTATTATTAACTATTTAAATCTTAAATAAGTATAATATGAATATCAAAGTAATTAAAAAAAATAAAAACAATATATTTTACAAGTAGGTACAAGGTACGTACATTTATTGGCAACAGTGTGTTTATCTTTTCTGATAAATCCATTGACTGTCCTAATGATCCAAATATATTTATGGAACCAACGTCACCACAAATTCGACAAAGTTTTCGAATTCTATCATTGGATGACATCTATAAATTCAATAATTCTAGAATTATAAATTTTCCCATTACCTGTCACTCATTATTAATATAAATAGATATAAATGTTTTTTTACATAATTTAAAGCCGTTATAAAAAAAATCAATTAATTTTAACTATTTTTATCTTAATCATATATTTTTTAAATATTTTAAATGAGAACATACATTTTTTATTCTTATATTTGAGAGCAGAATATTTTTCAAATATATGAAATTCTCGTAATACATCTCCAACAGGTAGGGCTGTCTTTTTTACCTATCGTTCCAAAGTTATATTAAAAATTATTATACTTTCCAAAAATTCCACAATTTCACTTAAATTTACTATAAAACCGTCAACAATATTAATTAAAAAATTACGGTTGAAAAACGCATTTCGAATCAAAAGTGAACGAAACAGTTGCCTAGTTGTCAATTATTAGCTAGTATACAATTATTATTATTTTGTCTTTATAAAATAATTAGCGAATCACAATCCACACTGAGATAGATCTATCTCGACGACAGACCATTGTAGACATTAAGTGCCTATTGTGTTCCACTTGTTCCAGATATTATTATGGCGATATCAATTTATTTATAATAGACATAAATAATTTAAAGTATGTGTTTACCAAAGTGTTTATTATAAAAATGTGGTAAAAAAGTGCTATACTATTTTTGGAGGGTCGTATCCCATTTCGCCGCCAAATTAATCCCATTTTGCCACCGACCCATTTCGCCGCATAAAATTATTTTAGACACAGAGAAATATTTATCGTTTGAAACGATCTTAGTGCTATACTATCTCAATTCTGAAGTTATCAATTGATAAATCCCCAATAATTCTATAAACAAAATAGAATGAATAGTGTGTCGTCGCAGCGAGAATTGCAAAGTTACCACAGTCAGTGTCATATGATTCATACGCATTTACAGTTCACAATTTTTAAATAATAATGTCGAATATTGAATATATTTCTACACAGCGAAAAGTGGAGTGCCTTATTTTTAATAACTATTATTTTAGAATTGATAAAAAAATAAAAAATATTGGAAGTGTATTGAAAACTGTGGAGCTCGTGTAATAATTTCAGATGAATTCAATACTGTACATTCCGATAAGTTTTGTAATCATAACCACAGTCCTCGTCCAGTTAAAATTGAAGAAAAACGTTTTAAGGCCAAACTTCGTTTGAAAGCAAAAGAAAACCCTCTTGAACGAATTCCGAAGGTAATTATAAAAATTTTAATAAATAATTTTCGAAATTTGCATTATATACGTAATAATTAAAAGAAAAGTTAAGATTTTTAAGATTAAATTATTTAAATATTAAAGATGTTTAATAATATACTACGACCACAATCCACACTTATAGTTTAATATATTGATATAATATATATATAGATAGATAGATAGATAGATAGATAGATAGATAGATAGATAGATAACTGTAGTAGATACCTACGCTAAGTATAAATTTACTTATTTATTTAAATAGATTTATAAAGAAGTTGGAACTTCATTTTTAAGACAAAAAGGAGATTGTGTAACCCAAAATGAAAGAGAAGAAGCAGTAGCAACATATCAATCAATAAAATCAAGTATTCATCGAAATAAACGTAAGGAAGTACCTCCACAACCTGAAAATAGAAAAGACCTACATATACCAGGTTTATGGCGTCAAACATTAGATGGAAGAAATTTTATTTTATGTGACGATGGTTTAGATCAGGGATCGGCAACCCGCGGCCCGCAAAGCAATTTTTAATGGCCCGCACAAAGGTGGTTAATTTTTGTGTTTTACTTTTGTTCAATAACATTTTTCATATAATTTTCAATATTATATAATTCTTTTTCCTTTATAAATAAAATCTAATCTAACCGTTTCATAATAGCAATACAATTATAAGTATTATATCATAATATGTAATTTTTTTTTTTAATGTGGCCCTTGATGAACAATTGAAAAAAAAAATGGCCCGCATGGTTAAAAAGGTTGCCGACCCCTGGTTTAGATAATAAAATTTTAATTTTTGGAACGCCAGAAATTTTTTCTAAAATGTGTGACGCTAAAACTCTGTTTATGGATGGTACTTTTAAAAGTGTACCAAACATATTTTTACAATTATATACTATACATTTTGTATATTTTGATGTAGTATTCCCAGGAATGTATGCTTTACTTCTAAATAAATCTGAAACTACATATAATCTAATGATTAACCTTTTAATAGCAAAAGCTAATAGCTTAGGAAAATGTCTATTGCCAACAACTTTTAAATTAAACTTTGAAATAACGATGTTTAATACAATAAAAAATAAATATCCAGATGCACAAATTCGTGGTTGTTTTTTTCATTATACTCAGGCAGTTTATAGGAAAGTTGTTGATGTTGGTCTTCGAAATGATTATGTTTCATCAGAAGGTGATCCATTAATTAAAACTCTAGTTCGTAGAATTTCAGTTTTACCTCTAATTCCTATAAAACAGTTGACGATTTATGGTTAATAATAGAGAGTGAAAAACCAGAAAATAATGAAAAAGTGGAAGAATTGTTAAATTATTATATTGAAACATGGTTAGACGATTTAACACCTAGATTTAGCCGATATATTTGGAACCACTGGACTAATACAGATAGACGGACAACGAATGATTTAGAAGGTTGGCATTATGCATTAAATAAAGCAGCAGGTCGAAATCATCCCAGTATATTTGAATTTATAGTTATATTACAAAAAGAACACGCCAAAATTGAGGATGACATGAAACTTCTTCAACGTGGAAAAAAAGTAATAAGAATTTACAACAAATATGTTAAGCTGGAGCAAAGAATTTATAGTCTTAAAGAAAGAGTGACGAGCGATCCTCCGCAGATGAAATAGATTGATTATTTGGACAATATTAGTTATTTAATTAAACACAATGAATAATTTTATATATTTATTTTATAATTTTATATTTTATATTTTTTTGTAATCTTAAGTTGAGAGTTAAAGAGTTACTTAAAAAATAAATTCGGCGAAATGGAACTGCGAAAAAATAAATTCGGCGAAACGGTACCGCGGCGAAATGGGAGCTGACTTTTTTTGAGTAGTTTTACAATATTTAGATGAAAACATACATAGACGAAAAACAAAAGGTCATTTTTGGGTGACAGGGTATTGCTCATTATAAATAGGAATTAATTATTATAAAAAAATATATTTTTACCATAATATATCAACCTATTTAACATGAAATTTAATAACATTGTTTTGTAAATACTGTAAACAGTAAAAATTAATTCAAAGTATATAAATAAATAATATCTTAAATAATATCAAAAATAGCATTGGATATAGTTAAATTCATAACAATATAATATACGTAACTACAGTTTTAAAATCTAAAATAAAAAAAATTGTTTTTAAATAATTATAATAAAATAATTGACATATCGTCATTTTTCTTTAAAATAAGTATTTTCACATAAATTTGAAATTAAAATGTCTATAAAAATTAATTTCTAATAGATATTTTTAAATTTTATGATTCAGTATGACAGTATGAACTACTATGAAGAATTTTGTATCCATTTTTCAAAACATAGATATAAAAAATAAAAAAGTTTTCATGAATTTTTACTGCAAAGTAATAGGTAGGTAATCAATTTTTTACGATTTTGAAAAATTTCATCAAAATTCTAACTTTAAATGCATATCAAAAAAAGAATTGTGTCATATATACAATTTTCAAGAATTTTGACCCAACATATAATTTATTAACATTCATAGAAAAAAAACTAAAAATATATAAACAATTTGTTATGCCTATAAAAAGCACAAAAGTTAAACATATTTTAAATTGTATCATGTATTGAAAATAATTACATAAACATTATGTGAAAATGCATAATACCTACAGTAATTTATTTTTAAGTTACATCAAAGAAATAAAATCAATTTTTTAGAAAATTGGATTTGCGTAAAAATTCCATTTTTAACCCGCAGTGACTAATGTATTACAAAAACGAGGAAACATAATAAATCATTATGTACATAGGAAAATGTATATAATTTACCAATTGTATAACCCGATCAAATATGAAATATACTTACGGTCGTATTCGAAAATATGTAGCCAGAAGTTCTTAATTATTTATTAAAATTTTAATGTTGTTACCGTCGAATATAACACAGCTAAACGTTTTTAGCGAATTAGTGTCGCTGGAAAACTATAAATCGTACGTTCATCTAATATCTGCGTAACGTTTACGAATAATTTTCTTCCGCTGTTCAGTAATAAAAGTCAAAAAAAGAAATGAACTATCTTTCGACTGAGCAATGGTGGACGGCTGGCTGGAAAATCATGAAAAGACACTTCCCATGGGGTATGGACAAGAGCTAAAATAATAAAAAATACATTATTGTGTCAGCAATTTTACATTTTGGTTCAGCAGTGACATACATGGAATAAAAAGTTATTTAGCCACGGTATTCCCAAAAATAACAATAATTTATTTTTTAACATGATCGATGGCTGTCATCAGTGTGCTGATGGAGTCATGCGACAACTTAATACTTCTACCAACGATTCAGTGTGACCACTTACTACTACATTGTAATAACTAATATTATTAATTTACCTATGATTTATGCAATAGAATGCATCCAGACACAAATTTACAATAATTTACTGTTTGTGCGACAGTGTGTGGTGTACTTCTTAAGTTAACCACTATAAAAAAAAAAAACAAATTTGTTAAACTTTTTTAAGTTTTTAAAAAACATGAAGTTTGATCCAGACCCACTTATGTTTCTGCCACGAAATCGTGCCGTGGAAAATGACACTCAATAACAATTTTGTAGACGTATAAGTGAAAAATATATTTTGTATTTTTGTATATCTTATTGGTCGATAGGTAACGAAATTCAATTCATTATAAATACAAACAATTTTTGCATTTTAATGTTAATCACTTAATATTATAAAAGTAATTTGAAAATATAATAGGTAATTAATTAATTAAATAATATTAATTCGCATAAATTATTATCGTGTAGATATACCACATTATCCAATTACGTACTAACGTAATTTAATTTTGTAATAACTATAAAATAGTTTCAGGATGAGCGTTAGTAAAAATATAATACATATAACTAAAAATTCATAAAAAAATTGTATTTTATATACTTAACTAGGTATACGACAACAATTATTTAGATTATTACAGGAACAAATATACATGAAATATATAAAAGAGACAACCCATTAGTAAAATCTCTGAAGTGTAAAATATTAATTTTCATTTCACCTAATAACTGAAAATTGAATATATAACAAATAATATTATAAGTTAATAGTGATGAAAATATGATACTTATGAAAAAAATAAATAATATTTGTATATACTTTCTCTGAAAGTAAATTCTCTTTCAAAATAATATCATCTTGATTGTGGTTTATCTGAACCTTTGTTAAATTATTAATGTAGGTACTTAATTTTATAAGACAAATTTAAAATTTACATTTTAATAATAGGAAAGGAAGATAAAATTGTTGTAGAAGCTCATTTGTATTTTTAATTGGTTATACAATATAATTTTCATTCTATGGAATCACAAATATTTTTTTGTTGTTACATATGAAACAACTGAATATAAAAATAAAAGATCCAGAGGAATATTACATTATACAATATTGCTATTATGATAGCACAAAATTTATTTTTCATAATAATATGCATTTTTTCAGACAAAACACATTATAACTTGTGGTTTAACAAATTTGGTAGGTAAAAAAAATAAATTAATTTCCCTATATATCGTAGGGCTATTCTAATTTTAAATAATAAATATTAAAAAATCTTATTTTTAAAATAATTATAACCTCTTAAACGTATACATTCATAATATGTACATTTTAATATCTGTTTAATCTATTTTTTTTCATTTTATGTACAAAACATCCTTTTAAACGGAAAACAAAAATATAATCATACAAAGAACACACTGAATAGCATACATTTTTCTTGATTTAAAGATACATGCATGGTTAGCAAGTCTACTAATTCCATCAGATTATAAAATTAATGAGCAAAACAGTATATATAATAATTTTGAAAATAAAGAATAGACTAATAAAGTCTTAATTATTTTAAATATAACTTAAACAATAATAGCAGGAGTATGATTATTGTGAATAAAATTTTCTTTATTCTAAATTGTTCAATAAGAATGGCTAATTCAATTAACAATGAAAGTACAAAAATAAATATCTATTTAGTATTTATACATAGATTTTCATCATTAAGTTATTTGAATTGTCCGGTAACATATATTTTTAATTAAATTTTAAATTTAAGACTATAATAATATTTATCCAATAGGATAAATGTAATATTTATTAAGACATATTTTTGAAGTGTAAGGTCAGATTTTAGTCTATAGAAACAAAAAACATAAAATATGAAGAAAAATAACAAAAAATTAAAATTCTATAACAAAATTAAAAATGTTAAGGAAAAAATATTTAAATATGTTTCATTAATTTTAATCTGTTAAGACTTTATACAACAGACATGACCATAGTATTATGTGTAGTATTTTATTGGTAACATGTATTAGTTAAGGATATTTTAGAGAGAACAACATGGTAACACAAGGGTTTAAGTCTTTTTGACAAACAATTTCCCACAACTAATGTTTATGGACTAAATCTGTTTTTACATTAACAAAAATAATCAATAATCCATTCAAAAAGTTCAGAATATATCACATTCACCACTTTTATGTACTAACCATAATTGACAAATAACCATACACTTTAATTTAACTCAAACTTTATTGAACAACTGCTATTGGTGTAGCAGTTGTTAGGTTTGCTGGTGATTTAAAATCTGTTGTACTGTTAACTACTGTTCTTGCATCTTTAAATTCTGGTGGAGGCGGAGGAACATGATTAACTGGAGAAGAAGACACAAAACTCTGTTGCGGATGATGGTGATTTGCAAAAGGTGATGGCATTCCATAGCACTGAGGGAAGTATAACTCAGGTTTTACAATACCCGATGGTTGGTTAAGTATAGTATTTAAGTGTGGAGGCCTGCCTGGTTTGCCACTATCGGATCTACGCTTATTTGCATGAGGGTTCATATGGTTATCAATATGACGTTTTACTTCCTGTTCAGTACCAAATCGACGACGACAATTTGGCATTGGACAGCAAAATGGTCTTTCTCCTTGATGAGTTCTTGTGTGTTGATCAAGAATCGCTTTTTGCCTGAAATCTTTTCCACATTGTAAACATTTATATGGTTTCTCACCAGTATGTATACGTAAATGTTGATTTAGTATAGTGCGTTGTCTGAAATTTCGTCCACAATAAATGCATGTAAAAGGTTTTTCATTTGAATGTATGCGTAGATGTTGAGTAAGATGCGATTGTTGTCGAAATCGTTTACCACACTCTACACAAGGGTAAGGTCGAGATTCTATATGAATGCAACCATGCTGAAGTAAAGTAGACTTCTGTTTAAATTCTTTATTACAAATTGGACAACGAACATAAAGTGGCATACCAGCACTACGACCATGTTGGATTACATCAGGTAGACTTTTACCAGCCTGGCCAAAAATTTCATGCACAACACCTAAAGAGGAATATATATTATATTAATTTATAACATTCAGTCAATTAATTTTCGTTACCTTTAGCATCCTTAAAATATGCAGGGAACTGAGGAGCATTTTCTGGAGAAAAACATGGATCATTTGAATCATATTGTCCACTTTTAGATTGTGGTAATGGCACATCTTGTGGCCAAAGTTGCCCATTTTTATATACTAAGTGTGGGCCCACATCTGAAAAATTAAAAATGTCATAAAAATGAAAACCTCTGTTTTTCTTTTAAATTTACTTCAAATTTAAAAATTAGGATTACGTATTATGCCTATTGAGAAATGTTCAATAAAAGTTTTTATTTTAGGACTGAAAATAAACATTAAAATATTAATATTAAAAACTCAACAAATTTAAGAAGGATTTAAATAATTGTCGAACACAAAAACATTTAATTATTAGTTAAACCATACTAAATTTAATTTAATATATCATAAAAAAATTGTTTCATACAATGTAAAATATTCAACAGTTCTATGTCTAGTTATAATTTATGAAAATAAAAATATATCACACTAATTTAATAGTTAAAAATTTTTATTCTCCATTAAACTTTAAATAATATTACTAAATTAAAGTTCAATTTTGTAGACATAAAACTCTTGTGTTGCTGAATGGAGCTTTATCTCACCTTCCTTGAGCGGAGCGACATTTTCTCCTTGGACGTTGTCACGAATAATCCATGTGCAGCGTAACTAATTCAAAAGAACATGCCGCTCCGAACCGGATTGAAGCCACCAGACAGACAACACAATAATACCTTCAAAACTCATCACTTCAATAAATAAGTTTTATAAATTATGTTTCTTGTTTTTCAAGTTGTGCTCGACATTAATAATAAGGAATACCATTAAGGATATTATTTTATATTAAAAACAATACACATTAAAAAGGATTAACACAAAAGGAAATATACCTATTTAATATATTATAAGGATAAAATAATAATAAAAGAAACATAAATAAAACAAAAATAAAAATAAGTTTATGAATAACTTAATAAATTATAATACTAATAATAAGTGGAAAATAATCTTTAACTGAAAATAAAATATATTCAGACCTATTGTTATCATTTTCCACATTTTATTTTATTTAAATTGTTTATTGTACATAATAATTAACTCTCAATAGACAATCTAAATAATACTAGATATTAATTATTCATAAAATAATTAATATCTTTTTTTATATTTACAAGAAAAATATAATATTACAAATTATATTTAAAAATATTGAAAAAAAAAAAACAATTATAATAATAAGAACATTTTTAAGGATGTTGATCAAGTTAACTTATCACTTAATCAAAACACATCAGGTGTGGTTTAGAATATCACTCCATAATTTAAAAAGCACATAACATTTGATTAATAAAAAAAAAAAATGTTAATACGTTGAGAAAAAGTGACAATAGGCAGTAAAACGTGTATTAGTAAACCACAATTATATTATAATAGGTAGCATAATATTTTAATCATACGGATGCAGAGAAACTTTTTGCAAGCCATCCTGAAAACAGTACTTAATTTAAGACTTTTTGCTTATATCATTCCTAACCTAACATAGGTTAGAACTTATTTTTTTTCAATTTCAGTTACAACTCTCATGGGGAGACCTTCTTCATTTCTGATATGAGCAATATTTGTCCTGACAATGGTTTTAGGGTAAGATTTTGTAGGTATATCTAACAAATTAAAAGAACTTTTGGGGCTGTTAGATGAAGAACAATATGCAGAAGAATTTAACTGCTTAACTTTAAGATTGTTTTGTAACAATCTAGAAGCAACATTTCTAAAATTAGAGTTGTTCAAATGCTGTTCGTCTTGTGCGCTATCGCTTAAGTTCGGGTAGTATTTCATTCTAAACGCTTCAGCTGAAGACTTGAGAAAAGCGTTTAAATTATTGTGAAGTTGCGAGGGCGGAGGTGAACTTGAGGAATCACTACTATTTAACGAGGAATGAGAGTGCTCGCCTTGGTGAGTGCGGACGTGCTGGTTCAGGATGGCTTTCTGCCGAAACGCCTTGCCGCAGTCTCCACACCCGTACGGTTTCTCACCCGAATGAATCCGTAGATGCTGGTTAAGAATTGCTCGCTGTCTGAAGGTTCGTTCACAGTAAACACATACAAATGGTTTTTCATTAGCATGTATACGCACATGCTGCGTAAGATGAGACTGTTGACGAAACCGTTTACCGCAATCACTGCACACAAATGGTCTTGAGTCAGTGTGGATTCGCTCATGTTGCATTAGTGTAGCCTTTTGTTTAAAATCTTTGCCACAAGAAAGACATTTGAATAGACGCAGATCAGAACCTTTTTTCCCCGATGCTTCTTGTTGTTGGTGAATAAGGTCTGGCATATTAGGAAAATCACCAGACGCCTCTGCTGGATTTAAAGGAGTTAACATGACACCAGGCTGTTTTAAATAAGACATAAAACTTGATGGACTCAACATGTGTGGAGGGCCTCCTCTCACACCAGAATAGTAATTGGAAGGGTCAGCCGGACCATAATGGCCTGGTTGAGTTCGATCAGATTCAACAACACTGTCTTCTGGTGGTGTTTCATCTTCTCCACCATTTCCAGAACCTATTTAAGATATTCAAATAAAGTTATATTTATATTGGATAAAATAAATTATTTATTTACCTTGAATTGAATGATTAGTATTAGGGTATGGCGATGGTATAGGTGAAGCAATCGCTGATTGAGATGCTTGTTCAGTTGATTGTTCAGCTGGTTCATGTTGAGATGATACAAGAGCTGGATAACCGTTTTGTGAAGGCCCTGGACCCCATTGACCATTACTGCTGTTTGGCCCTTGTTGATGGTGGCCATCTTTGTTGTATATAACATATGGAGCACCATTCTCTGTAAAAGAAAAATACACACTCAAAACCGAGTATACGCATTTCAATGAGTCACAACAGTCAGCAGATCAATCAAATTAGTCACACTGAACCTTCCTACTCGATTGTTTAAAATACCTTCATCAGGTTTGGGTGTTTCCAGCGAATTGATGATCATTGGTATTATACATTAAGTTAATAAAATAACATAAAGATGTCTGATAAACTCACGACAACGTACCTACAGTGAATAATTTTCTATTGGTGATTAAATCAAATAAACAAGAAAAAACGGAAACGTGCAGTAAAAAAAAAAATACTAAATAACTGATAAAAAGCACATTTTTTTATCACAAAATATTGGATTTTTTTTCTTATTTCTTCTCCGTTTCCTGTTCTACGTAGTATGAATACAACGTTGCCGTTTTAACATATGGTCTCGGGCACCTTTAGATAGCAGCACCAGACGTAAATGCCGGTACCGCGACCAGGCGGCTGTTGTGTTATTGTTTATTTATGCTGCCTAGGAGTTCGCATTTGTACAAATATAAATAAATACTAATATATTTATATCAACAAATTAAATAACAACGAGAATTATTTATTTATTTCTATAATTTTTAAATATTGTAATATATTTTAATTTTTCGTGTTTAATACGTAGATAAAAATAATATGTAATAGTTATTGTTGAAAAAAGAAATAGTACGTTATCATTTGTATAGCACAACAGCGGTGTCCAGCAACTGTTTATATCACAGATGCATCTATATTAAACAATCTTTAACATAAATTTATTCTATGGTTTAGACAAAATGCAAAACATGTTTCAAGGTTCTAACTTTTCTTTAAACCAAACATTCTACAATATTTTTCCGAACTTTTAACCTGTTAAGCCTGGTCACACTGTTGTTTATTGTCTTTTATTCTACTACTCTATTTTCAATGTCCTACTCCTAGCCATGACAAATTAAAATTAAATCTAATTTGCTATGGTCCTAATCTACATAGCTATAGTTCAGTTAAAACTTTAGAACTTAAAATTATAAATTTTCAACAGTATTACCTAATAACCACTTATTAGTAATTAATACAATAACAAATTATATTTAGATGAAAGTCAACCGACTATTCAGTATTCTATATTTTAAATTTTTATAAGTTGGTAGGTACGTATCTTTGTAATTCAGTTACCTAATTGTATTGTTTATTCACTTCTTTATACGAAAAATTAACAAAAAATCAGAGAAGGCGCTTTGCCGTAGTATGTAAATTTCAAGTGTTTTTTGTTATCATTACTCATTGTAATAGATAAACTACATTTGAATCCAATAATAAATCATTGCACTTACGAAAATTGATACTAAACAGAGATGGTGTAACAGGCAATAGCCCCTGAAGATTTTTTCAATTAATTTATACTATTTATTTTAATTTCAAAAAATGTATATAGTTTCTACAATAGTAGGTATGATTATCTATGGAAATTTTTCAGTGTGGTATATTTTATGTAGGTAGTATCTTTAATTACCTACTAAATTGATAAATCCTTAAATTATTATTTCAAAGTTAAAAGAATACTTAAAATCTTCAACAAATTTTATATTATAATTTTCATTAAACGATAAAATTTTCAACAATTTTTAACTTTTTTAAAATTATTTGTTAGCATGAGAAATATTCAATGTTTATCAATTTTTTTTTTTGATGAAGATCGATAAATTATTTGTTGGGTCAAAATTCTTGAAAATATAATACAAGATCTCATAAAAGATATTCTCATATCTCATATATGTATAAACATATTAAAAATACAAGTGCAACTTTTTTTTTATATGCATATGAAATTAGAATTTTGAAGAAATTTGTCAAAATCGTAAAAAATTACAAGCTATTTTATAGTTATAAATTCATAAAAAATTTCTTTTTTTTATTTAAGTTTTAAAAATTTAATACATAATTCTCCGTAAGTAGTTAGTATGAAAGCATAATATCTAAAAATGTATAAAGACAATTATTTTTTATAGACACTTTAAATTCAAATTTGGACGAAATTACTTATATTTAAACGATAAATAACAACATGTGAATTATTTTGTTATAAATTATAATTTAAAAACACTAATCGTGGGAATTTAAATATTTATGTATTTTATATTATTACGAATTTCACTATACGTAATAACATATTGATTTATTTTAAAATACTATCTATTTATAGGTACTGTGAATCTATTTTATTGTTTTACAATATTTATACTTTATAGAAAGATGTTATTAAATTTTGGGTTATATAAATTCATATAATATAGTAAAAATATATACTATAATAATAACTAAATACTAATAATATAATAAATGCAATATTTTCGGAAAAAATTACATTAACCTACTATAATACTTGAAGTAAAAAAATTAACTTTAATAGCTTTATCAAAACAATTATTATCACTTGGTAATATAAGCTGATAGATCGTTTCTGCTCAGAATTGTTTTCCATATTTATCGATATCACTGGATACAAATTTAATAAACTTACAATAATGACCCACTCGATACATAATTTACAACAAAGAGGTACCCATTTGTCATAGAGTACATAAAATAAATAATAATTACTCTATGATTCAGATTTCAGGTACAGTGTTCAATTAGGTATACATATATATATATATACAAAAACATTGAATACAACAAGTAATTATAATAATCACAAGAAAGTATAATACGAACTACACCAAACAACACCACCAGATCTACTCTTAAACACTTAGTCTAATAATTTTTTTTTAGTTTTAAAATATATTATGCAGGTGCCTATATCTTAATAAATTGAACTAAATTAATCACCCTGTGCATGATATATGCATATAAAATATAAACATAATACTTATTAAGTATTTATATGGATTAATATATTTATGTAAGGTTATTTTTATTAGTTAATTAGTTTTAGCATAATTAATTATAAATTCATAAAAAAAATTAAGTAGATATTTATAGATATCGTTCAAATAAAATATATCGTGCACGAATGACACATTACCACCATAATTTAAAATACCTATATAACTTATAAAAAAAAGATATTAGTTGATAACTATTTTGGTTTTTCTATTTTATAATAAAACTTACAAGTATATAAGTTATTTTTAATATTCACCCCCTTCCGTTATCTCGGGATGGATCCAAAAATGTCTAAGACAAATAAGAATATTATTGACTATTGTGATACGTATTCACTATAGTACTATACTAATTTATTATTAATGAGATTCGTCAGTTTGATAAGTTCACACTTAACACCTATAGCATGGTAGGTAAGTAAGCGGTTACATACGTAAATTCCTAGACAAAAAAAAAAATACGCTAATAAAATAAATTATTATTACTATTATTTTATATAGGTACGTGTAATATGTGGAATATAAGTAGTATATTATGTAGGTAGTTAATAAAGTATATTTATGTCTTATGAGCTGGATTCAATTAAAAATCGGATTAGACTTTTTTATGTAAAACAAAAACAGATAAATTTTAACTACACAAACTATATATTTAGGTTGTCAGTGTTAGGTTTGAATAAAGTGAAAAGGAAATTTGTATTCGTGATGATTTTTTTTCGTTTAGAAACATACGTACGGGTGCATTTGTTTTCATGTAGGAACTTATGTATACTCATGCTGTTTCTACGTCTCATGGGTGATTCGCCCATGAGGGTGATTTTTACCTTCTATACTTAATGTAGGAACTTACATTCATCATTTCATCCTAACAAATATAATACCTACAAGATTACACAAATAAATAAGTTACAGAATACCTAAACATAAAAATTTACAGTATTTATCTCAAAAATTTGAAAAAATATACATATATAATTATATAAATTAGTTAACTAAAAGCTTAAAATTCAATTTAAGTGAATAGTATTTAATTTACCTTGGGCAATGCAGTACATAAAATTCCGAGGAACTTTAAGGCCTGCTGCCAGACATGCTGCAAATGATGCTGAGAAATTGATTGCCATAATATCCCCTTCATCACTTCCTAAACAAATTAAAAATAACAGCTATAATAGCAGATTTACAAAAATGTTTCTATAATATTAAAAAAGTATTTGATAATGAAATATTGTTATGTACTTATAACTCATAAGGCATGCTATTAATTAGTTATAAACAATAAACCTTATAGTACCTACTCTAAAAGATAAAGTAGTAATTAGCTTTATGTTATTATTAAAAGCATATAATAGTTATCTTAGTATTAAAATTATTTGGTTTGATATTGAAAAATTACATACTTAGTAAAATTTATTAAATTTATTTAGGTACCTTTAATACATACATATTTACAAAAAAAGATGATGAACAAAGCCATAATTTATACATTTTAATAAATTATAAAATATTGATTTTAGAGATTTGATATTTACTATTAATCAGAAAAACACTAAAAAATGTATTTTTATTTTAATATTATACAAGATAGTTCTATATTTTCAGTGGTGATGGTTAAACAGAGCCTTCATTGCTGTTTTAAAATTTAAAATATTTGTGCTTACTATGCTTAACTGTAAACCATGTATCTAAATCTAGTTTGAAAAATATTTCATCATTAAGTAGGTAATTACTATTATTTAGGAAAATGTTTGATTCAATGATATAATTGGTCAATTTTTTTTTTTAATAATTTCACTTAAAAAATAGATGGAAAAAATGGTAATTTGTTCCAATAATTACCTACCTAGTCTTTTAACTGGAAGGCCTTGTTTGAAAATATTTCATATTTTACAAGCATAAAAATACATTTAATAACCTATTCAACACTTCAAAACAAACTTGACTTAAATCTCATTCTGTAGTTTGTGAAATATATTTATTTATATTAATTTATTTGTGGATATCAAATGCTTAATTATTTTTTAAATTTTATCCATGAATGTAATATAAAAACAAGTAGGTAACTGTATGATATTTAAGCTATGGACATTTTTATAGATATTTTAGACATAAGTATTTCAGTATTTTGGTAAAATTGTTATATACTCTAATACTAATAACAATATAACATATCACATTGTTATTACCACAAAATTTAATTTTATCAATATTTTTTTTTTATTAGGTATCTACTTTTTTTAAATATGGTTTAAGTAATGTTTTTGTGAAATTAATTTTTATTAAGAAAAAAATATATATAAACCAAATAACTACGTAGCTACATTAAAAAAAAAATCAACTAGGTATAGGTAAACGTAATGTTATATTTTGTAAAAGTACCTATATAATTTATATACAAATACACCAACATACATAGCTGAGAAAAACAAAATCACATGTAGAACAAGAAAATATATTAACAAATAATAATAATAAATAAGTACTTATTACTATTTTTTTTTTAACAGAAATTTTAATTAAATTGTCCATTTTATTATTAACTATATTTGCAAATAAAAATAAAGATAATTGATAAATAAGTTGTAATTAAATTATAAATTGACAATACATTTAAATATTATTTTTAGGCATTAAAATCCTTTGTAGTTTTTGGGACTTCTAATTCTTTAATAATTACTAATTAGATACTTAATACATTTGAAAATAATTTTCACGTCTTATCACAGAGTTATAAAATACAATAATGCTATAAAAATGATAAAAAAAAAATGTAAAGGGAGCAATTAATACTTAAATCATTCTTACAATATTTGCCAATACTTCTGAAATAATTTCTTCAGTTGAAGAGAGAATAAAAAACAAATACTTATGATAAATTTAAATAATTAATATTAATTACATTAGGGCTTATAGTTAAACATTAGGAGTACTACATGACCTGCTCATTTTTCTACCAACTAATCGTTTGATTCGTTCTTTTCTTGTTCGATATAGTTTGGAATGTTCATATCTTCTTTGTCCAATGGTTGTTCTTGACGGTGTTTGTGTTTCAACAGAGTAACAAGGTCCAAGGAACTTAGAACTCAACTTCCATACTTCCATTTCATCTTGTTGTTGTTTTACAGCTGCCATTCCTCTATCAAGCAAAAGATTAACCACTGTAGAAGCATTTGGCCTATTTTTAGGATTCAAGTCAACCATTTTTTTAAGCATTTTTTCAAGACCAGTACTAAAAACGGGAGTTTGAGGTAATGAAAATTCACCATCTCTTAAACGGTGCCACTCAGGTCCATTTTTAGGTAAATCTTTTTTAGTTGCTGCCTCGTATACAGTAAGCGCAGTTGAAAATACATCAGCTTTCTGCAATTGAGAATAATCATCACGTAATAGTTCTTTAGGTAAATATCGGCAATCTCCGTCTTCAATAGTTCGGACGTCTTCAACGCATATTGTATGTCCAAAGTCTCCAATCTTATACACAATATCTTTGTCGATTGTTTCATCATCATCTAGATCTTCAGCAAACCACAATGCACCATCAGTACGACATATTAATATGTTGGCAGCTTTAATATCTAAATGTGCAAGCTTTTTAGAATGAATATGAGCTAGACCTTTGCATACATGACATAACAATCGCCTTAAAGCACTATCACAAAATACATGATCAGATTCATGAATCATTCGCTCCAGGGTACCATCATTACAAAATTCTGTTTGAATATAAATATGGCCTCTTTCATGCCAAGCTGTGAAATATGAAACTATGTTTGGATGACGTCCAATTACAGAGTGAGCATAAACTTCTTTACGAATAAAGTATTCTTGACTTTTGTAAATTGTCTTTTTAGTCTTCTTAATAGCATATGTGATTCCATCTAATAAATTTGTACATTTGTATACTTCACCAAATGCTCCAGTAGCGATAAAATCATCCATTCTGAACTCTTCGTTGAAACGAGAAGTCTGCAAATCATATATACTGACATTGGTCACTTCGCCTTCATTCATAAGATCTCTGATAGAAGGATCCACTGGAGATGATGTTTTATTGTCAGGCGGAGTGGATAGACTACTATTACTATCATGACTTGAATGATCTTCAGAACTAGAAAAACTAATGTTTTGTTTACCTGAACACAGTTTTTTCTTATGTTTGTTTTTTAGTATTTCAATGCCAGTTGGCGTGAAGGGATTGACTGACAACCGAAATTTGTTAGAACGCGTAGATTCATTGCTGGTGTCGCTCGACGGTGACTGGCCCCTGAGGCGCACCTTGTGCAGGGCCCGTGGTTTAAGAAAGGGTGTCGAAGAGTCGACACCGATTTCAGGCGAAAATGACCGGCGACTGTCAGGCGGCGATGGCGCACTGGCAACGACTAAGGCTGGTATCGCTCTGTCAGCGTCGAAGCTGAGTCTTCTCATTTTTTGGACGAAAAACGAATCGTCGTCACATTCCATCTTGTTAATACCACCGTCTGGGTCCATTTCACCGACGCTTGCTGGAAAGTATCACGCGCGACTTACAACAAAAAATAAATAAAAACCAACCCGAAGGTAATTGTGACAATTATTGAAATTTTAAACCATCGACGAGTAATTATACAAATTGAAAAAGCTGTGATATAAATGATACAATAATATAGAGTTTTAAGCTCATCAACCGACTGTTGTCACTTGTCAGTGTTGAATGCTGAATGCTGATAGCAGCTGCGAGTTGCGAGGGAAAACGGCGCGCGCGCAGTGCAACCCCGTACATTGATAACATATATAGTGTACACACTGTGTTGGAAACTTAAAAAATAAAATAAAAATTCGTATAATGATTTGCTATACAGACGAGACAAATTTTGAATTTCTATGCGCGCCACCTCGCAGCGATAGTCAACGTCAGATAAACATTGGATATATTATTATAGTATTTTAATTATTACGTATGCGTGTGCATAATTATTATCGATATTACCGTGTAGCAATGTGTCCGGTAATCCCGTGGACGTTGTTGGTGCTCATGACTCGGGACGAGTACTCTACGGTGAACCAAGGATGTACACAGTCACAAAATACAAATATTTGTTTTCACGTATCAACCTTGGCATGTAATTATTGTTTGTTATATTTTTTTTTTGTTTTTTACTGTTACTGATAAGACGACAGGGCGCGCGACCTGTACGGGATAGAACTATTGAATTTGAAAATTAAATAAATAATATTCGCGATTACCGGCGGCGCGTCGTCAGAGATTATTAAAGCTCCGCGGCGGCGTCTGCCGATTATACAACACACGCTCGTGAACGACACCGTACAGTAAACACCGGCGGCGGCGGTGGCTACAGTACATTCGGGGGAGACGACGGTGCGTGTGCGACTGGCCGACGGCGTACGTAATAAACGTCGGTGGTGACGAGGGGGCGGGGCGCGGTGGTAAGGGGCGACGGAAAAAAAACCCGGCAAGCGCGCGCGCGCGCTCCTCCGCCATAGAGAACCGGAATGAGCGGTGCACGCGGAGGCGGTGGCGGGCGGCAAAGACGGGACAGAAAAATGAAATGTAAAAAAACCAAATGAAATACCACCGCCGCGCGAGACGACGACGGCGACGAGACGATCGTCGCGCGCTAGAGGGAGCGACGCCGCCGAACAACCCAGCGGCGTTGCCAAATGTATGTCCCAGACGAACCCTGTGTGCGCCTGCGACGTACTATTGTGCGCCTGTGTGCGTACAGGAGAAGGTTGCTTAAAAAAAAAGCGTCCTACACTCACTCTCGCCGCCGCCGCGCGGTCCTCAGCAGCGGAGCGGAGCAACTATCCGACAATCAATATTTTAGCAACCCGAACTACGTCTGGAGGAATAATAATAAAAAAAAAAAATGTATATTATAAACGTGTGTGTGTGTGTACAATGTAAAAAAGTGGTCCAAACATAATTTTTCTTTTTTTTTTTTTTTATTGTAATATACGCATTAAATAAGCACTTTAATATATATATATATATATTCGTTTGTGTTCCTATTCGTTTTTGCAGATATTTCCATTTGAATTTTATAATTTATTGCAGACAAATAAATCGCGTAACGCGTAAGATATCTACCTTCGACATGCGCACAATATTGTTACAAATCGGATCGACAATAAAATAGTTGTTTCGTAAACACTTGCGTTATGTGTGTTGTGGTTATATTCATAATCCGCGATTCCTATCACAATAAGCGTTTATATTAGTTATGGGGTTAGAATTTCGAATTAATTTGTAATAATAATACAGTTGAAATTTAGCATAATCAACGAAGAGCGATTAGCTAATCCGCTGGTGTATGGTGTTACTTTAAAACCTTTAAGTACTAATCCAAGATAATATGTAACCCATTCACTCCTTCGAAATAAAATATTTTAACTATTATTTTTTTAATACACAAAAAAAAATGTAGAAGTATAAATAAGAGTCAAAGGATAATATAATTTTTGTTGAACCATAAAAATTTTCATAATTTGTCAAAAGAAAATCATATTAACTGATTGATATTAGTAAAAGTAAAAATTATAAACAATAATGATTATTTTTTTAATAAAGTATACTATTATAGATGATGCTATATCAAATCTATATCTTTAAAATATAATTAAGTACCTACACAATAACACAATTTATATTAAGTAAGTTTTGGACGATATATAATTATGTTATGTTATCAATAATCATTATTTTAAGTCGTTAAAAAACAATAATTTTCTAAAAAATGTATTGTTTACTATTACTTGATTCAATTTCTTATTCTAAAGCATAATATGTTTTGAAGTTATCGATCAATAAAAATTAAATTTCAGAAAATTTATTATTTATAATTTGTAACTCTAAAGTATCTAAAGTTTAGATGATAGAATAGTAGTTTATATCAACATTTAGCGGGGTACTATTGCGCGCTGTATGATTACACTCCGCTCATGAAAACTTTGAATACTTATATCAACTCATAAACAACTATTCTTACAAAATTCGACTTTTCAACAACAAAACACTCCAAAAAATATTCTGATTTCTAATAAAGGATTTAAAATACTTGTTGTCATTAAATAAATTAGTAAATATAGTAATTATGCAAAACAAATATTTTCAAAATGGTTAATAGTTTTTGAAATAATAAGTGTCTTACTTTCAATGAACTTCTTAGACGATTTAGGTCTGCCCTTTGTCTAGTAAGAAAACACCGATTCTACGCATCCCCACACGACACCCTGTTAACAAAACTAGTTATATTAAAGCAGCATGTCGAATGGGGGGGGGGGGATTCGCAGAATAAATAATATTCGATATTTGTCAGGTCACAGTGTATTTTCTCGTTAGACAGAGTAAGATAAATAATATTTCTATATGTCTCTATATTATTAGACAACCAAAATAAAAATTTCTAATTAATACAGTCTTTAAATCATAATATAAAATAAATGTGTTTGTATCTTTGTGTGTGTAGTTTACATCAAACAAAAGTTTAAAATGTATTCAAATAATGATACCAATAGTTTATAATTATAAGTGTAATATCACATCAATAATATTTATTTATATAAATACGAATTTCATCACGTACCTACCATTAAATAATTATATTTAAAATCAAGAATTAAAAAAAAACATTCATAGCACAATGTACAAATAAAATTAGATTTTTTAGTAGGACTCTATTTAGATTTTAGGTCATCACTCATCAGGCTCATCATATCTGTCACGTGCATATCACCCTATTATTACGCCACTATATGGCCCTCTGTCTGCATAGTATTTTTCTACGTACATATTTAATAGGTACTGTAGTATTAAGAACTATATACATTGTTAGTTTAAACTTTAAAAATGTTAAGTATTTAAATAATATAATATTAAACTTCATAAATTTGAAAACCCCCACACCCATATAATGGAATTTTCAAACTCAAAATTAAAAATTTGTATGTAAAAAAATTTGGGATGATAATTAACTTAAATACATTATTATTTATTAACATACAGATTATTGTAATTGTATAACATGTAATTATGGGAGAAATTGTGAATTTAAAATTAATGATTATTCCTACTATTTTTATAAACTGGTTAATGACTTTGAAGTTCATTAAGACTAATAAAAAAAAGTCATAGGTACATTTTATTATTTTATTATTTCAAAGTAGTTCTTGATATATTAACATGTAAGGCGAAAGACTTTATGTTACATTTTTTCAAATTGATTACTACTAATTACTCTCCAATGCTTTAAATTTCAAAGATTATTGGTGCATATTCAAGTAAAAATCGAATAAGTGAAGCATTAGAAGGTAAAAGGATGGTTGAATTTAAAAAAATTAGGTTTAACCATACTGAATACAGATAGAGTTTTATTTTAGTTATAGGAGTTGAATAGTAACTATTCAAAAACAACTGCTGTTTTTTTAATTAAATAATTAATTTAAATCTTTGAGTAGATAGAGAATAACGAAATAGTCTTAGATATGTTCAATATACTTCAGTAGTTAAAACTAATTAGTTTATATATTTTGAGAATGAGATGTTATCATTTGTAAGAATTTAAAGAAAAATCATTTAGAGTGTACCATTTATTAGAACTTAACACTATTAAAATAATTTCATAAGAGTATACAATGTTTAATATATGAAATGGACTTGAAGATTTTTAAATCATTAGCAAATTGATGATTATTTGAATAAGGACCTCTAAGTAATAGGAAAAACAACATCAGCTTCAATGAATAAATTAAAGATGATTGGAAAAATGTGATCACTTTAGGGAACTCTAAAAGTTATAGACACAGGAGATGACATAAAATATTTAATTATGATAAAAAGGAGTATTCAAAACCAATTTTTGTAAGTTATGAATTGAAAGTTCGTGGTTAACTCTATCAAAGACTTTTTGAAAATTAGTACAGATATAAAATTGGTATAATAATAATTTTTAAAATAGTTTAATAAATGATGTTTAATAGTTTTATAATAGTAATAGATAATTTATTATTACGAAATTCATGTTGTTAGGGTATTAAACTCGGTTTGATCTAATAGTGACTACTATGAAATCCAACCATTCTGGATCAATAAATGAATAAACGTTTAGTATAATCGTGAATCATCACAATTCACAACTATCATATTATTTATACATATTAAAAAAATAAAAACAATAGATTTAGAGTACACAAATTAAATTGGAAAGTTATCTGACTTTAATTGATAAGCCGACAATGTTTAAGAAAAATAAATATTACACCCATAAATCATAATAAAATTATTGAATTATATATTTTTAGTGACAAATAAAATTAGTTTAAAACTGTAACAATAATATTCACTGTTAAATACTTCATAACAATTTGGTTATAGAAAATTATTTCTCCACTCATAAAATTGTAATTCTTTAACTTAGCAGCTGTTACTAAACTTTTTTTTCGCGGTACCCTTTTTTGGACCAAATTCAGTCGCGGTGCTTTGCTATGAATATCTATTATGAATAGAAAATAGGTACCTACTTGTTAACAATATATTTTTCCGTTTTTAGATTATTTACGGAACACGGGGAAATATCTTGTTTAGCTTTATTTTATTAACGTATTGTTTTACATTTATCTTTTATTAAAATAATTTAATTCATAAAATGTTAAATCACTGTAGTATTTTAATAATACACTGAGGGCATATTCGTATATTGTTGATAATTATTAAATTAGTTAATTATTTTATATCTAAGGAATGTCTTAAATGTCTATGGACTATTTATGGACATAAAATTTGTTGAATTTCTTAAAATATATAGGTAAGTATAGGTATCTACCATTTTTTATTGTAATAAACTAGTTTTTGAGGATAAAAATATGTATGATTTAATTAATTTATCCTTATTCCTTTACATAACTTGGTCATCTCAGTATTAAAAATATTGAATAAATCAAACGTGTAATGCTATTACAGAGTTATAGAAATAAAAAATTAATTTCTAGTTTTATACAAAGTACCTATTCAAGATTTCAACTATCATAATTATTAATAATATTATAAACGACTACATAAGTGTATATTATTTTAAAATAATTATTCTTAGATGCTATCATATCTCCCAATATTTATCATAAATTTATGAAAGTACATACTTATGATATAATGTATAAATAAAAATGATATCAACTTAAATATTGTTATTGGTTATAGTGTCTAATATTTTTTTTCAATTTTTTGAAATATTTTTTTAACAGATTTTCAAAAAAGATAATAGAACTGTATACATATTTGGACTTTGTACGATGTATGTAATTGTTAAAAAATAGTTTTAAAAAGCTTAACAATTTATTAACTAGTAATTACCATATTAAGCATTTTAATAATTATCTTGTTTTTTTTACGAAAATAAAAAAAATTGTTTAAAGTTAAGAATAAAGTTTGATGTAATAATATAAAGTACCAACTTATTGAATATTGATACAATTCCATATCATTACTTAAATATACTATTAAATAATTTTAGATGGATTAATTATTATTTTTTTAAATAATTATATTATTAATTATTAGACTCATACACACAAACGACAAACCTTGATTAAAATAAATAATTATATCAAATTATTTTTAATTATGCTCTAAAAAAAAAAAAAAAATGCTTTCTTAGTGGGATTTTATAATTAATATAAAATTATGATTCTTTATTAAACCGAATGACAGATTAAATTAGTTTAATTTGTATAAGATCTTATGTAATGAATAATGATTAATATGACTTACCATATTATCCTTGACATACTGCAAAACGTTCGATACTGTAAACAATATGATATAAAATTAAAACTCTTATAATTTTAACAAAAACAAATAAATAACATATTTGTGGTTCTTAATTCTGTAAAATTCAGAGAGTATTGAAACAAAGTGCCACGATAAAAATAAAACGTACATGTACCACGGATAACCAAAATAAACAAAATTTTTGGATTTGAAGTTGCAAAATGTTTTATAATATTATATGTATAACGATTGCAAAGAGGCGTTATAGGAATAGAACGAATTAAAAAAAAGTTGTCAGCGGTCGCACGTTTACTCGGAAACTAAATACATGTTATTAATTTGTATGCATATACGTATACTATTGTACTTATATTTAAATAAATGCAGGTTAAATGTACAGGCTATATATATATATATCATCATATATACATAGTGCGGTACGTATTATGTGTATAATACATATTATTTTTTTTATAAACTATACAGCGTGTGCGTTATAGATACACTACGGATAACAGACGCTCGGAAGTGGTCCACTGGGTGGTTAAGCTGTGTAGATCGAATGAAAACGAAACTGGCAATTTCTCAATCCCAGACTCAGACAAAAATATTCATACATACATATATTATGTGTGTATAAAGGATATATATATATGAGTGTATACACGTATTTTATACATTATATCGTAATATATACAACAACGAATGTGCCTCCCCTGCAGAAGGTCCAAGAGCGTATGATTCCGTCTAACCGGTTATATAGTTATTCGCCACACACAAACGGTGCGATTCGAATACTATTACATAGTTGTCAGTATAAATAATACTGAATATTTGTATATTTTAACGAACGGATAATAAATATGCGAAGATGCAGCGAGATCCGTATTAAATCGCATATGTAAATTATATATTAAACTAATATATCGTGAAGATTATTTTTTTAATGTTATTTCTTCGTCTGTACAATTGTATAATTACTTATATAAGAGCATAATAGTGTCTTAAAATAATTATGATACACATAAATGTACTGCGAATATGCATATAAAATGAAAACACAAAATTTTAATATTATACGTGTAAATGTATAATAAAAATAATATAGTACCTGTATTGTATAATGTTTGATCACAATCTCGAATGCAAATGTATAATAGGTATCTATTATATGGATAGTGGTGAGTATTTTAATACTTAACGATGAAGCCGATGAAGGTTTTATTGAATTCATATTTTATCGTGTATAAAAACACTGATTATCTATACCTATTGGATATTTAAATAACACGTTAAACGATTATGTTTTATATTTTATAAAACTATTAATCTTTAAGTTTTTGATCTAAGACCATTAAAATTTAAAATTCTATTAAATAAGTGTATTTTCTTTAATATATATAACACAAATATATCTAAATTTTTACTTCATGAAGTAATTATGATTATAACATTTAGTGTGTCAATAATAAAAACTAAATTTTTTGAAAGTATATTTATTTAAGAAAACATGTTTACTAAAAATTGATATAACGGTAATTTTATTAAACTAACATTTTTTGTAGAAACCAAATTATTTTAAATAAATCTTTAGTTATTTATTAAAGTGAATATTCTATACTAAATTATATTCACAATTCTTAAATTAAATAAATATTGAATTATATTTTTAATTGTATTCTGTTTAATATAATACCCTTGTTTAATGTTTATGAAAATGTATTAATTATTACATTTGTAAGTATAAATATGCATAATATCATAGACTTATAAATATTTATTTTAATTTTAAAATGTAATAATAATTTATATTAGTAAAAGTCAAACAAAAAATTCACGCATATTAGCTGGAAACGAATAATTTATTTATAGTTTTGCTTGAACTTTAATAATAATTTATATTTAAATAGATCTATAATATGTATAATAAAAGTTAATCATTTTTATTCCAAAATTACAAACGTACAAGTTATCAAATTATATGAAAAATAATTAATAAATAATAATGTTATGCAAACCCTGATTCAATAATTATTATTGGTTTGATTTACGAAGTTTTAAATTTGAACAAATAGAGTAAATATTTAGGTATAACTGGTATGGTATGGCCTTAGAGGCTTAGAGTCACACCTACGAAGTATAGACCTATTATTTATAACTTATATAGATCACACAAGTTTTTAGTAAGGCATACTCCTTTAACTAAGGTATAAGTATATAAAACCTGTTTGAAAGTACATAATATCATTATATGTATAAACCGTTTATGGACTTTGGGTTTAACTTTAAAAAAAGTGAATAATACCTGAAATTATCATAAATTGTTATTATAAAAAATTCATCAACTATACTCATATACAAATTTTACAATAAATGTAATACAATCAATATGCAATTATATCTAAAAACTTAAGTCCTAAAAAAATCATTCATTATTTGAAAAACACAAACATTTCTCGAGTACATTTTTGTTTTTATCGGTACCTTTTTCGATGTATTATGATTTACATGGTACAGCATTATATACTAATAGTCATTGGATTATATCTTATATTAAGTATTGTCAACTTGTGAAAATATAAAAATATAATACTGAAAAATAATCTAGATATTTAAGTTTTTTTTTTTAAATTTAACTTCACACAACTGAAAAAAGTAGTAAAAATTAACCTAAAAAGTCATAAAAATCACCAAATACGAAAAAAATAAAAATTAGTTCGATAGACTTGTATGTTATTGAAATTTATTTTAAGCTAAAAATCATAGTCAATGATGTTCCAAAAAGATGTAATATTTATCAATATCCGGATCCTACTAATAACTAATAAGCGATAGGTATGAGTTATGACAGCTATATGATATTAATGTCAAATACTTATTGACTAGATATTGTAAATATCAAAAATTTTAACTTTTAAGAAGAACTATTTTTGCGTTATACTCGAAAATTTTTAATGTCACAAATATTTATAAGAAACTGTATTAAATTTTGGAATTCAAGTATATTTAATGTATTTATATAGAATAAAAATTGTAAATATTGTATAATTTGAACACATTAACAGATAAATATTTTTAAATAGGTATCTAAATTATTTTATTAGTAATTTTTAATTTTTTTTATTAATGAAAATGTATTTTGTTTATCCAAAACTAAATTGATTATATTGTGTTGAGTTATATAGATACCTAAGTATCAACATTCAACAACTATTTAAAACTGAAATCTATTGTTTTACTTTTAGACTTAAATTACAACTGCAAACAAGTATCATAATCTAATTATGCAAAATAAAAAAATAATCTTAAAATCTGAATTCAATGATTTATACTAAAATGTCATTCAAAACGTACAAATTATTTTTAATTTATTCAAATAATAATTTAATATATTTTAAAATTATTGTTGAAAATAATTTTGCATAGAATAATATTTAACGTTATTTAGTTTTTAACTATATTCATTATTATTTTTTATAAAATTAATGTACATGAGAATGTAAAACATTTTTGAGAAGCACTAGTTTACGACCTTGAGCAGGTATTAGACAGGCATAAGAGAGAAAGAAAGAAAAATAAGCCAGACGGCTGGTCCAGCAGTATAAAAGTATAATAGATAATATTATTCTGTCCGCTCGATTATTAGTCTACATAAGTTATAAATATATAACAACATAAATATAATAATGGTACCTAATATTTATGCCTTATGCATATATTAATAGAGAAACATAATACACACGTGATATTGGTAACCAGTAAGATGCTAAAAAATCATAAATACAGACAATAGTAATTCTGTATTCATAATATAATAAGTATTATTAGTTTGACAGTTTATAGGTATTTCATCTAAAAATATTATTATTTTAGGTAACACATCATTAATTTTATTACTTAAATAAACGATATAAGATTATATATTAAGTTTAAAAAACTATTATTGGCATAAAAATTAAGAATTACTTAGAGAAATAAACTATATACGTATATTAGGAGTTTACAACTTAGGTCAAATAATGTCTTACAAACACTGGATTTCGTAGCTATGGTACTCACTACTCTGCATAATAGACAATAGGTTAATATCAATATATGAATAAAATATAATATTCTTATTTGCTTGAAAATATTTTAGAAGTGAGATACCTATAAATAGTCTAGTATATTTTTATTTAAATTTATTATAAACAAAAACTTGAATAATATTTTCAAGGATTTGGTCAATGTGTCGTGTTAAACGAATATTATTAATATATTACATTTAGTGATCTATTTAGCCGAAGACACTCATTATTTCATTATAACATTAACATTTTTGAAAATATTTCTTTTAGATAATTTTAAGCCATCATATAAAATAACTAAATTATATTTTTAAAATTTTTAATCTTTTTTTAATTTCAAATAATGAAGCAAAATGTTATTTAGAGTTCTTAAATCTATAAAAATTAAATTTCTGACAAATATTTAATTAATTACATAATAATATGTTTAAAGTTTAGATGAGCGAGTATTAGACCAACATTTGCAGGGTTATACTACTCTGCGCCATTCATCAAAACTTTAAATACTTTTAAATTATAAACTACGCGTGAAAAATTCGATTTTTATGATCAAAATACTCTAAACAATATTCTGCTTACTACTAAGGATTGTGTAAAAAAAAATACTATCATACATTTTAATAATTTTTAAAATAATAAGTATCTTACGTTTAATTGATCACCTGTGTACATCAGTACGTGTATATCGATATATTTATAAAAGTTTAAAATAAATGATATTTTTTTGATTTTTATTTATGAGTTTCATTTATAATTTATATTTAATATTATATAATATTTATTTTATAATACAACACATATTATTAAAGTTTAGCTAAAAATAAAAAATATACGGTATAATAATATTAAAATTAAAATTTAATAAAGTTAGTATCAAAAACAATTTGGCTAATGTAAAATAAAAATAAATACATATATATATATATATATATATATATATATATATATATATATATATATATTATTAGGAATTCAAAATTAAGATTTATAAAAAAAAATAAATCGTTTTTAAATTCTAAATTGTGTTTTAACGGTTAATATTTAACTCTTGCTTTGAATTGGACAAAGTTAGACGAATGAACACATTCAATGAAAGACATCTATATATCTGCAGTGCAAGTCTGTATAATTTTTATCCATACTAATATACTATAATTGGCATTTATTTAAAAAAACAAAACATTTAAATGGCTTTTTCAATTTATAGTAATTTGTTTATGTTTTATACAAATCATAAGAAAAAATCAGAAGAAAAATATTATGTTTTGTTTATGAGTATAGTGTATAAAAGTCCAAAGTATATTTTACTCAATTTTTTCTATC